CACCTGGTCGGATTGGTGCCGTCCGCGGTCGTGGGCGGTTTTGTATCCATCCGGACGGGATGTGGCCCACCTGTAAGAGATAGAGGGGTGGAGGAGTGGGGGTCGTGGGCGGCAGTTTTGAAATTTGTGCCTGAAATTCCTCCCGAGGGTGCTCTCTCTCCATTCCTCTCTTCGCCTTCGTATTCTCCATCGAATGGGTCGCGATACGGGTGAGGCCCGACGGAGTCCTCAAATCGTCGGCGGGGGTCGCGGGTGGTTGTCTGCACGGAGTTGCTGGTGCTGGTCGGCGTCGCAGGTATGCTCTGCTTTCTCCTCCCTCTCTCTTGTCTCGACGGGGGACCGCCATTGTTGCGGGTTGTTGCAGTTGCGCGGATGCGACGGACTGCGAGGGAAGCCTTCATCCCCTTCATAGGGTTCGAAACGAATGCCAAACCCTCTCACTTTTGTGGTCGACTTTGCACGTCTCTTATCCCCTCCGGTTTGAGTGTTCTCCTGTTGTTCGGTAGCACGCCCCCATTGTGGTGGCGATTCATGGCACATAGATGTAGGTGGGGAAGGGCACGGGTATGATAGGCACCACGAGATGCTCGTCCATAGCGCCCGATGTGTGCCCGTTTGTCCTCATTGTTGTTTGTTGTTCGTGAAGGAAATATGCCCTAGAGGCAATAATAAAGTTATTATTTATTTCCTTATATCATGATAAATGTTTATTATTCATGCTAGAATTGTATTAACCGGAAACATAATACATGTGTGAATACATAGACAAACAGAGTGTCACTAGTATGCCTCTACTTGACTAGCTCGTTAATCAAAGATGGTTATGTTTCCTAACCATAGACAAAAGAGTTGTTATTTGAGTAATGAGGTCACATCATTAGTTGAATGATCTGATTGACATGACTCATTCCATTAGCTTAGCACCTGATCGTTTAGTATGTTGCTATTGCTTTCTTCATGACTTATACATGTTCCTATAACTATGAGATTATGCAACTCCCGTTTGCCGGAGGAACACCTTGGGTGCTACCAAACGTCACAACGTAACTGGGTGATTATAAAGGAGCATTACAGGTGTCTCCAAAAGTAGATGTTGGGTTGGCGTATTTCGAGATTAGGATTTGTCACTCCGATTGTCGGAGAGGTATCTCTGGGCCCTCTCGGTAATGCACATCACAT